TACACATTGTGATATCCTCTCTCCTCTTCTATTTATAATAATTTTAAGATAGAGTTTAATCACCCTAGATGGAGAAGAACATTATCCATGAGGATTTTAGCTGTTACAAATAAAACCCACAAAAGGAAAACATATCAAGGGTGGTAAACCTAAATATTGCAACCACTTTCAAATGAAAGATGCCTACGTGCAGCATTGACTCACAAGGTTGTACTCTTGGTCTTGCACTTCGTGATTCAAGGAACTCAGTAGCAACTAGTACTTTCACTGACAATGTCCTTGGTAGAAAAATAGCGAGTTCCATATTCTATGACTTGCTTCTCATCAGTCGGCCTTAACATGCTCCCAATTTCTCTTCTTACCATGTTGTCTAGTCATTTTAGGTCCAATGTCTTGTATATACTTTTCCTGAGCAGTTCCCTGGGTTTTCTTCACTGCTTGGGTTGCTCACTGGGCACCCAATGCCCATATAGCTTGAAGGCTGAAGGCTTTAGTTCACTGCTAATTTTTTTTAAAATAAAATTGTCAAACGACAATCACAGGAAAGTGTTTGTTTATGTTGTCTTTGGATTAACGGGAATTTAGATTTGGATTTGGATTTGAACTTAATTTTCCATTTAGTCACATAAAAGTCTCTGAATTTGGATTTGATCTAAATTTAGATTCATGTTTTATTATAACTTTTTTGTAATTTCAAATTTCTCCCTATACTTCAATCCTCTTGTTCTTTTCATGTTTTCACTAATGGTGCCTTTGTCACTCGTCTCTTCTCTCATCTCTCATTTTCGTTTCTCAAATTAAAGTATCTAAACTTGTCGCTTCCAATATTTCATTTTTGTTTTGAATTTTAGCTCATCTTTCTTTTTCATTTGAATTTTTTTATAATATACAAAAACAACAAGCCTTATCTTGCTAGGTGGAGTCAGCTATATAAATTATGTGACACCATTGTGCTTTATCATTTATCAAACTTTTAGAAATGTTAATTAAGAGGTCTCAAAAAGTTATTTCACAGGTGCTTCTCATGGTTTCTTTATACATATTCAAACTATTTCAAATGATTTTCTACCATTTTTTCTTGAACAGGTGCGACACTTGCTTCTTCCCGTATGTGCTCATTTTGGATTTTGTCTATACGTATATGTTTGCACATCCATTTCAACATTCTTATATTTATTACTCTAACTTTATGCTCTTGCTGTCTCATTAAAGCCCAACATTCACTATCATATAATATTGTTGGTCTTATAATAGTTTGATAAAATTTTGCTTTAAGTCATTAAGCGCCTTACGATGGCAAATAACTTTTTTAGCCTTTCTCCTATTAAACTATCCAGTTTGTATCTTATGTGCAATATCTCCGTTAATTTCCCTATTATGTTGAATAATAGCTCCCAATATTCAAATTTTTCCACTTGAGGTATACTTTGATGACCTAATTCACTTCCAAATTACTACTCACTAACTTCTTATCAAAATTATAGTGTAAATATTCCGTTTTACTCCTACTCAGACAGAAACCTTTTAACTCTAATGTCCTCTTCCATAACTCAAATTTATAATTAATCTTCTATTGTCTCTGCAATAAGAACTGTATTGTCTATAAAAGCATGTATTTGGGGATTTCCTTTTGAATATGCTTAGTCAAAATATCTAAGACTAGGTCAAACAAATAAGAACTCAAATGATTCTTGGTGCAGTTTAATCTCTATAGGAAAGTCTTTTGTTTCGTTGTAGATGTTCTTATACTAGTTGTTGTCCCTTTATTCATATCTTGTATGGCTTGAATATAGGTAACCTGACCACCTTTTTTTCCAATGCTTTCCAAAGTATTTCTCTCAGTATATAATCATAAGCTTTTTTCAAATTAATGAAAACCATATGTAAATCTTTATCTTTATATTGGCACTTTTTCATTAATCTCCCTAGTAGATTAATCGCTTTTGTAGTCGCCTTATCTAGCATGAAGTCAAATTGATTATCAAATATATCAATTTTCAATCTCAACCTATGCTCAATCATTCTTTCCCACAATTTCATTGTATGACTCATTTCAATTACTCTTTTCCCTTGGTAGAAATTTTTATACCATAAAAAAAAAAGAAATTGATAAAAAAAAGGAATTTTAGAGACATGGATTTTCAATGTGAGATTTTAAATCTCAATTCCAATTCCAAATCCTTCAATTCAAATGCTACCTAAGTCCTAATTTTTTTTTTTCCATGGGTTGTCAAAGTATGTTCAATAGATCGACAAGGGGTGGACATTACAGACTTGTTATGCATAACTTGTATTTTTATGTTGTCCTATGAAAAGTATATTCAAGACTAGTGGCTTTTTTTACTTGTAGTAATAGTTCCTGTATGGAATATTTTGGCAATTCAGTATGGTATGACTGGTTTTACAATATTTTTGTGTTGTGGCATAAAACTCATCTTTTTCTGACTACTGTATCATACTGTCATGGTTGGGCTTTCTTCCGTTGGTTTTGGACTTGAGCAGTTTAATTTCGACCTACATTTTGCAATCATTGAGATCTGATGTGCATTTAATTTGCTCAACATGGTGCTATTTTTGTGTAGTTTGGTTTCAACATTTGGTAAACATTATCAATAGTGAATAAATCTGAAGCACAACGCCTAGGTTTTCTCGAGTTATTTGAAATGGTGATTCTGATAATTTCATTGCTAAGTGATCTATTGCTGGATGTAGGTTGTAGTTGACTTTAATGGAGCGGAAGGCAAAGGAGAGGATATTAAGTCTGTAACTGAAAGTACATCTCTAAAGGTTTTGCCACCGTGGATGATAAAGCAAGGGATGAGTCTTACAAAAGAACAGCGTGGAGAAGTGAAGCAGGAGATGAAGATGGATGGGGCTTCAACTTCCACTGCGACACAGTATTCAGATGACAAAAAGTCAACAGTTGAACAGGATGATAAAAAAAGCTTACAGGCTCGTTCAATCAAATTAATGTTATTTTTGTTGATGTTATAGTTGTTTGTCACTTGATGTTTCTACCTCTGCCCCCAAAATCTGTTAAGAATGATTATTCTTACAGTGATCTCTTTTTTGTCCTGTTATAGGATGAATACATTAAGGCTTATTATGCAGCATTACTCAAAAAACAACAAGAATTGGAAGAGGCTGCAAAAGCACAAGAACAGTCATCAAATGCATCTGCGCTTGAGGATCCTTTTAGTGGTGCTTCGCATCGTCAGGTTGGCATGAAATCAAAACGTGAGGACGATGATGGTACTGAATGGGAGGAGGCTCCAATTTCAGGTAACTATTAGTCTTTCTGATTTGATTAGGACAAAATTTGAATCCTAACTTCAAATCTTGCATAACCTGTACACACACATCAACTGCTGATTTTTGCCTCCAAAAAAATGTTATCCCTCTGAAGAAACAACCCGACAAACATTAATTTAGAGGTCACTTGTAATATGTTGAGGAGTTTTGATTATTGTTATAATTAGGGTAAAACAGCACTGATATTTTATTCATAAGAAGTGTTTACGTATATAGAAGAGATGAGAGGAAGAGAATCTACACAAATCACTAATATCTCTCCTATAATCTTGGCAAATCAAATCAGATGCTGATAAGAGATAAAATCAGATATTAATAACAGATAGCAGAGCTTATTTAAATAAGGAAAATTAGGTCCAATCTTGATATGGGCCTATGTGCCTTAGGCCCTTATCCAACACTCCCCCTCAAGCTGGCGAATAGATGTTAATCATTCCTAGCTTGCTTCTGAGTCCTTCAAATTTGTTTTGGGTTGAGGATTTGATCATAATATCTGCAATCTGGTTCCCTGAAGGGATGCAAGATAGATCTATCACCTTAGCTTCAATTTTTTCTTTGATGAAGTGTTTATCAATTTCCACATGCTTCATGCGGTCATGTTGAACAGGGTTGTTAGCGATCTTTATGGTTGACATATTATCACACCATACTTTAATCGGACCATTCAGATCAATCTTCAATTCCTTCTAAGAGACGAATGATCCACATTCCTTCACATATTCCTAGTGATAAGGCTCGGTACTCTGATTTTGCTGAACTTCTTGACACTGCTGGTTGCTTCTTACTCCTCTAGCTCACTAAATTTCCCCACACATAAGAACAATACCCAGTAGTTGATCTTCTATCACTCTTTGAGCCTTCCCAATCTGCATCATTGAATAATTCAACATTTCTGATGGTATTCTTTGAAAAAAATAGTCCTTGTCCGGATTCTTCTTCAGGTATCTAAGAATCCTGTAAACTGTTATCATGTGTTCCTTTTGAGGAGCACTAGAGAATTGACTCAACACTAACTGGAAAGCATATGTCAGGTCGTGTGTGGGATAAATAAATTAGTTTTTCCCCTAACATTTGGTATCTTTCTTTGTTTACTAGTATGCCATCTGGTTTAATTGTCAACTTCTGATTTAGTTCCATTGGAGTGTGTGTAGGCCTTGCCCCCAACATCCCCATTTCCTTTAATAAATCTAGAGTGTATTTCCGTTGTGATACACTAATCTCCTTTTGTGTTCTTGCCACTTCCATTCCCAGGAAGTATCTTAAGGGACCAAGATCTTTAATCTCAAATTCTGCTGCCAAGTTTCCCTTTAGTTTAGTGATTTCTTCCACATCGTTCCCTGTCAACATGATGTCAACAATAAGGACTGTTAATTTTTCTCCACAATGCTAGACAAACAACGTGTCATCTGCTTGGCATTGTTTGTATCCCCAAGACTTGATAGCTCGAGAGAATCGGTCAAACCAAGCTCTTGGAGACTGCTTTAATCCATATAGCGATTTATACAACCTGCAAACTTTATGAGAGTTTTCAGAATTTCTCAAACCAAGAGGAATCTCCATTTATACTTCCTCATCCAGATCACCATTTAAAAATACATTTTAAACATCCAATTGGTGAAGTGGCCAATCTAGATTAGTAGCAAGTGATAATAATACCTTAACTGAGTTGAGTTTGGCCATAGGGGAGAAGGTCTCTTGGTAGTCTATACCATAGGTCTAAGTGAAACCCCTTGCAACTAATCTAGCTTTATATTTGTTTGTACTTCCATCAGGGTTATATTTCACAGTGAAAACCACTTACTGCTAACAACAGATTTTCCCTTTGGCAAGTTGGTGATCTTCCAAGTTTGATTCTTGTAAAGTGCCCTTAGTTCTTCATCTATAGCCTGCTTCCATTTATGATCAGTTGTAGCTTCAAAACTATTAGGAATTTTCACTTGTTCAACATTCGCCACAAATGTCTTCATACGAGGCGAAAGTTTCTTATAGGAAACATACCTTGCAATGGGATGTTGGGTACAACTCCTCTTCCCTTTTCTAAGAGCAATAGGCCATTGTAGGTCTTCAAGACTCACCTCAGGTGTGGAGTCATGGCTTTGCATCGGAACAGAAATGGGTTCAGCTCTTTCTCTGTTATGGTCCTGTTCACTAGCATGATTAGGTTCCTCCACCCTAGTTTTGAGGTCATCAAGGAACAGGCTAAGAGGTTCAAAATGGTTAACATCCTGAAAATCTGATCTGTTTTTGGAATTTCCAGAATTTGTAGAGTCTGTTTGGTGAGGATCTGAACTGATTCTTGGTGAAACATCAGTATATTGAGATAAGGTTGTAGAATCAAAGAAGTTAGTATGTTCAAAGGTGTCATCTAGTGATATATGGGGAACATCCTGTTTCTGTCCAGATTTGGAACATTTATAATGATCATTACAAATCAGCCATTTATTCTCAGATTTATTCTCAGTAGTCTCTCCCTGAATGGGTGATTTGGAGTAATAGGGTTGTTTTTCAAGGAAGTGAACATTCATGGTCATATATACTTTATTGGTGACAGGAGAAAAACATTTATACCCTTTTTGACTGGAAGAATAACCCAAGAAAATGCATTTTATGGCTTTAGTATCCAATTTTCCTGCTCCCTCATTATAAACAAAAGCTGTGCACCCAAAAATCTTTTGAGGGATGTTGGTAGTAAGAGTAGAGTTAGGAAAACTTTTAGAAAACTTTTGAAAGGGTGTGGCAAAATTTAAAGTTTTGGAGGGTAAGTGATTTATAAGATAAGTGGATGTAAGAATAGCATCTCCCCAAAATTTGTTTGGAACATGAATTTCAAACATAATAGCTCTAGCTACTTCAAGTAACTGTCTGTTTTTTCTTTGAGACACACCATTTTGTTGGGGTGAGTAAACACAAGATGTTTGATGATGCCTGCCTTTTTCTTTCAAAAAAATTTTGAAAATTCAGATTCACATATTCCCTCCCATTGTCACTTCGAAGAATTTTTATGGAAGTCTGAAACTGATTTTGAACAAAGGCATAGAAGTTTTTAAAGATATTGAAAACTTCTGATTTTTCTTTCATCAGAAATACCCAAGTCAAGCGAGAATGATCATTAGTAAATGTTGCAAACCATGTTGTTTTAGAATTTGTTTCAAATTTGGATGGACCCAAAACATCACTGTGGATGAGAGCAAAAGGGTGACTTGGTGTATATTTGTGGGATGGATAAGAATTTTGAACTTGTTTAGCAAAGTGGCAAGTCTCACAATGAAACTCAGAAACTGACTCTTTATTGATATTTGGAAATAAAAATTGCAAATAATGTGGACTAGGGTGGCCTAACCTAGAGTGCTATAACATCAAGTCTTCATGAGACATAACAGAAAAAACACCATAACTTTTATTTGATGAAGATCCATGGATATAGTAGAGTCCATTTCTCTCCTTAGCATTGCCAATCATCCCCCCCAAGGCCAAGTCCTGAAAATCACAGCCAATTTTGTCAAAAATAGCACAACAGTTTAATTGAGATGCCACACATTTTACAGACAATAAGCTGCACTTAATCTCAGGTACATATAACACATCCTTCAACACAATATTTTTAGAGATTATCACAGTGCCAGATGCGAATACTTTAGCGTACTGTCCGTTTGCAACTTCAACAGTCTCATGCTTAGAAAATTCACTAAATTTAGAAAACAGATTCCTAAAACATGTTACATGATCAGATGCCCCAGAATTGATGATCCAAATATTGTTGGATTTTTTCATACTATCAAAAGTTTGAGTTAAAGCTGTACCTGCTTGTGCCAGTCACAGAAGGAGTATTATTCTCACATATTTTTGCAGATGCAGAATGTTTCTTCAAAACTTTCCTTAAGATCAGCAGCTCTTCAGTGCTTAATCCCCCAATTTCAGCTTCTGTTGTGGTTACTGACAGTCCCTTGCCTTTCTGTTTGAAATTCCGAGGCTTGCCATGTAACTTCCAACAGGTTTCTCGAGTATGTCTGTTTTTATTGCAGTGATCACACCTTCCAGACTTCTTATCCTTCATATCTCCTTGATTTCCTTTGACAACAAGTGCAGAACCTTCGAATGAAGTAGAAGAAGGCGTAGAATGTCCTTGGGTGAAAACCTTTCGACTTTCTTCGCATTTGAGCATGTTAAAGGCATCTTCTAGTGATGGAAGAAGCCTTATGCCCATTATACGTCCTCGAACATCCTCAAAGGAGTCATTGAATCCAGCACCTTTCTCAATCAATGATCTTTCTGTAGTACTCTCCATCTTGCTGGCAAGTCCATTCATGGACCTTGTAAATATCAATTTGTTGTGATAGCCTCATGAGAACATTGTAATATTGAGTGACAGATTGCTCTCCTTGCAAGAGATTTTGAAGCAATCGCTTCACTTGAAAAATGGCAGCTGTGTTCTCCTTGACTGAGTAGGTGTGCTTCGCAGATTCCCATATTTCTTTGGCTGTAGTTGCCAATAGGTAATTTTCGCCCATCTCGACAGTCATAGAATTCACGAGCCAGGCGATGACCATATTGTTTTCTGCCCACCAAGACTTGAACTTTGCATCTGTAATTGCTGGAGGATTCTCTGAGGTATTTCTTGCAATTCTTTCCTCTAACAAACATCAGAATATGTCGCGACCATTGGAGGTAGTTGTTGCCATTAAGACGATGAACAATCACAGCTTGCGAGAACAAATCGTTCCCTGAACTCAATGTCTCGAAAGGAGAGTTCATGCTGTGCGCATTCAAACCAGTACCTTGTGAGTCTTCGTTGGCCAATGATATTGTGCCGTCACTTGTGGTGAAGACTCACAGCTGGTTTGTTAAAGCTGCCCTATATGCCATTGATCACAGACTAAGGCTTTGATACCATGTTATAATTAGGGTAGAACAGCACTGCTATTTTATTCATAAGAAGTGTTTACATATATAGAAGAGATGAGAGGAAGAGAATCTACACAAATCACTAATATCTCTCCTATAATCTTGGCAAATCAAATCAGATGCTAATAAGAGATAAAATCATATATTAATAACAGATAGCAGATCTTATTTAAATAAGGAAAATTAGGTCTAATCTTGATATGGGCATATGGCGCCTTAGGCCCTTATTCAACAATTATAAATAGTTATATGGCATTGGGTGGTGGAACTTTGCTTGTCCTTTCAATTACCTTTGATGAATCTTAATGGGAGAAATAACTCTACACAGTACACACTGGAAGTACTATTATGTTTGGCATGGAAATTTGTTAGAGCATGATTAGGGTAGTGACAATGGCAGCTGCACCTTTTGGGTCATGTGGCACAATAGTAGTTGTTGCTTGTTATGAGTTGATGAACTGCATGCATTCATGGTTGATATTTAGCTTAGCTAGCAGGACAATTGTAATGACAACTAAGGTAAACTGTGTTGATGGTAGTGGAGGATGGAGATGACAATGGTATCAGTGATAGAAATGGAATTGGTGTACACTGAAACAGAAATCTTTTGTTGAGGATTTAAATAGCTTAACTGGAATGGGTGGGAGAGACTTCTCATGCATTATAGAAATTTATTTCCATATCAGAAAATGATTATCGGAATCATGTTTGGAACTATGGGCTAAATTATAAATCACTATTAGAAAATGGTTTGAGATGGTTTGGACATGTACGAAGAAGGTTGCTGGAGGCATTGGTGAGGAGAGTAGAACGGATAATTTTAAGCTTTATTAAAAGAGGTAGAGGAAGGTCAAAGAAAAGACTTATGCAATTTGTTGATTGAGATCTTTTAGTTAATGATACAGTATTTCTAAAAGCTTGATAAATGATAGGGGCACAATAACGTTGTATAATTCATATAGCTGACTCCACCTATTATTGTTGTATGATACCTGTGGGAAGATTCATCATCTAGGTGGATATATCATATTATGGATGTGCGTTTTTTATGCATTTTGTTTGCATTGTTTAGATTTGGATTAGACGAATCTTTTCATAGTTAAATTGTAAGCCATCAAATTTATTAACTATTATTTATAACATTTGTTGTGATTTTGCATTTTTCTTTTTAAAATTAAAAAATATACTTGCCTGAGAAGACTACATTATTCAGAGTCTGTAAGTGGCGCGGTGCTCTACAGTTTTCATTATTATATTAATTTAATAAAAAAAAATATTTCCTCCGGTCATATTTATAGAACTGAGAAGGAAGATTTTTTGTTTGTTCTATTTATAAGTCACATTTTTAAATTTTCATCACAAATTTTCCTCTTTATCTTCTATTGAATGTTGAAAACAGAAAATAACTTGTTAAAATATGTATATTTAATGAGGGTAAAGTTGAGATTTTTTAAATTTTTAGACAAAGTTAATGAGTTTTAAGATTTTTCTTAGTTTTGGTGAAAAATGTTGGAAGTAAATTATAAATAGGATTTGGAGAGTAACAAGATATGGATTTTTCAAATTAAATTATAAAATAGTCTAGGTAAAAATGCACATATGAGAGATGGGCACTGGAACCAGATGAGTAAATCAAATTGAGATGCTGTCGCTAAGACCGAGCAACTTGCCTTGTTCATCACCTGTCAGTTCGGGTAGATCTTTTGCCTCTTGAATTGTGTGTCATTAGAAATTTGGAATTTACATGAAACAATATATTGATGGTCCCTTTCTGAAATTTTCTTGTAAACCTGTGTCCCCTCTCCCGTGTCGCGCTCTTTCCTATGTATTTTTTACTGGCTATCTTTTTTGAGTCTCTAATAGCATGTGCTTGGGGTTGGATTTTAAAGGCAATGCAAATGAGAATTACAAGGTCAATGACTTGAATGTTGAAGCTGAGGTGGCAGCGGATGACGAAGAGGATGACGATGTTGACTGGGAGGAAGGTTGATGAAAGTATTATGGTTAGCCTGAAATCACTTTTGGTCCTCCAATGATTTTGTAAAATCATGGCTTACTCTTCAAGATTTGATCAATGAAATGCTGATGCTTTCTTGGTGTGCATTGCCTTGAATTTGGTTCATCATTTTGTGTCTGATGTATTATAAAAAATTTAGGGCGATTTGCATTTTAACTTACAAAGCATCAAGGAAGTAATTATCCTCATAGCATTGCTCTATTTTTAATATCTGGCAATGTCCTTGGGCAAGACGTCGCGGCAAATTGTGACTGCCTGGGCAGCTGATGCTATTGTGCTGTGAGCATGTATATGGACTTTTTGTATAAGCCACGGCCACCAAAAGTAATTCTTTATCAAGTTCTTGAATAAAAACATGTCAATAATTTACTAGAGTTGATAATAAATACTCAAGTCAGATTGTACAAGACTTAAATGTGTAACGTATATAATTTCGAGAATCTGGTTTTCAACAAGAAGCTCAACTTTTTGTGATCGGGCAAGCTTTCTATTGGCTGTGGTTGGCTTGTTGGTGTGCGTTTAATTGCTGAGACTAAGTTGGTAGTCATCACATCTTAGTCTGTGTACTATGTTATAAAACTCTAAAGGGCATTAAGAAAATCATACTAGAGCGTTAGAGAATTAGTTTACCAAAAAGATTCCTTAATTGAAATTTCCCTTAAATTATTAATCATTTGGATGACAGCTTTAAAAAAATTGCAACAAATTTTAGATGGTCACTTGGGCGTTGGATCCAAAACATTCATTTTTGCACATGCATACATACTGGAACATTCGACATTCTTATTTGCATTTAATTGCCAAAACATTTACTATAAAGGGTTATGTCTAGTGCTTCATAACATGATGAATCAATATTTGAATTTTTGTTGGGAGATTTTACATCTAATGCTGTCTTGAATATTGAATGCAAACATGAATGTTAAATGTTCCAAGTTATATGAGGATGCCTGTGAACAACTGAAAATAATTGCCAAAACAGTTACATATTTATTCAAGTTATATCGCCCATATTCAAACATAGAAGCATAGCATCTCACATAGTAGTGTCATATCCAATAATTTGCCAAAATAGTTTGCCGTAAAAACTAATATTCACCTTTCCAAAAATAATTGTTAAAAGTAACAATACAAGGTTCCACCATTTCTGAACTTTTTTCCTTTGCCTTGGAAGTGTTTGCCCCTATAATTAGTAGGAAAATTGGGGTGAGATTTTGAGAAATCCCAATAGTTTTGGATCCATCACATAAGCTCAAGCATGCGTACTTATATAAAACAAACAAATGGATCACATAATATCACGCTCATGGCCAGGGCATAAACATAGAAGTTATCAAATATTCAAAACAAGAACTCAAACTTGTTAATCAAGGCGTAAAATACATGCAATAACAACTCAAGTTTGCAATGGAATATAGAAATTACCTTCAGCCAAATTCAAGCTTTGCCATTGCTTCTTACTTACCTTGAGATAATGGATTCCCAAGAAAATATCAATTGCCAAGTATATAACGATACAATATCAAGGTTAATTCAAGCTACAAGAACCATTAAAATTAAACAAAACTCCTTGGAACCATTGCTTTGTCTTAACTTTGATTTTTTTTTTTTAGGGTGAAAAATTTGACATCTGTATTTGACGTATAAAAATAATTTTTGTATGAGGCATGCAAACATGACCTTAGAATTTCAAGAATCAAACTCCTACCCTCACTTCTTGCACTTGACTGAGACTTTTAAGGGAGTTTAAAATTTTACAACTTGTTCCACTTGGTTTCTTATGGTTTCAACTTGATTCGAGGCTTGCGAAAACATCATACTTGAACTTAAAATAGTTAACATCCTTTAGGTGATTTATATTTAACATGTAATCTTTACTTTAGTTTGGTTCTTTCATATTTTCACATGGTCTAGAGCTTGATTAAAATTCATATCCTTTTGGCTAATATCTTAATTAATCAAGCATGGTTTTCTGTAAAATATTGGATTTGGAAATCTTTGGATGAGAGGAAGAACTCTTATGAATAACACTTTTGGATTTGGAGACGATTTGAGGGAGTTTTTGGCTGTTGAAGACCTGAAACTCACTTGGAACTTCACTCTCTCTCACTAGAACTCTAGAGCATCTTTCTCTTCTTTCTATTTGGGGGGCTACACGAACATGACTATAGGAGGGAGTGAAAGATTACACTATATTTGGAAGATTTTTTTTTTTTTTTATAGGGGAATGGAGTAAGATGGCTAAAAAACCTAAGCTATTGTTTGTGATTTTTTTTTAAAAGGGGTTGGAATGGCAAGGAAGGACCCCTAAAGCTCTCCTTTGCCATCCATAGCTCCATTTTTTTTATCCCTCCAAACTGGGGGGGGGGTCAAGGATGGAGTGGCATAATATAATTATTTCATTTACAAAATTACCCCTAGCCTTATATTCTAATAAAAAAAATCTTATATGTTATTTTCATTTTCTAGTCATCTCTTTTGCCTCCCGCTAAGGATGCACATGGGTAAGGTTGGGTTGGGCATTAACACAGCTTGGTGCCTAGCCCGATGTGTAGTCAGGCATCAAGCTAGCTTAATTGATTTGAAAATATTTGCAAGTATTTTTTAAAAAATATATGAAAAAGTTTATTCTTGAAATTATTATTATTATTATTATTATTATTATTATTTAAAGAATATTTTTCATCAAACTAATATTAGAATCAAAAGTAATTTTTAAAAATTTAAATGAACAACATTTGCCAATTAGTTTTATATAATAATAAATTAAAAATAAATTTTAAATTTTAAAAGAGATTTAAAAAATTATAATGATAAAAAATATCTATATGATCATAAAAAGAATATAATTCGTGATAACTTTCAACCAAAAAAAAAATTCTATAAGATAAATATTATTCACCAAAAATTAAAATAAAAAAAACTTGCATATGTTTAACAGGGCATGGTTTGACCCTTGCCGATGCCTAGCCTGATATGCACAAATGCTTTGAGTAGGGCTGACTGATGGGCATTCAAGCATAGTGCACAGTCCTATCTTCTGCCATATCTCTCTCGCTCCTACCATCTCTCTTCCCCCTCCCCTTTCCACATTATAACTTTGTAGTGTTTTCCTTTTCTACAAAAGTATGTTTGCTTGAGTAACTCTGCTACTTGCTCTTTCTTTTTATTCTTAATTTTTGAGTATCTTGTTTGACTGTTAATTTTAATTATTATTATTATTTTTTGTTTGACAAATATTATAATTATTTAATGGGCATTATTATTTTCTTTAAATTTAGTCATATGAGTAATATTGAAAGAAAAAAGTTTTAATCCATTCTATTCCATCCATTTTATGATAACTTTAAACAATGGTTATGTAAAACCGTTCATTCCCATCATAAAATACCCGAACAATGGAAAATTTTGTTTTATTCCCCTTCGCTCTACTCCATTTTGTTCCATTCTATTAATGACTATTCCTTATCATTGAATCTTAAACTCCTAAATGCACTCTTAGGTTACGTTTGGTAACTAGAAAGAAATGGAATGGAATGGATTAAAAAAATAGAGATAAAAATGAGGTGATTAAAAGAAATAGTAAACCACATTTATAAAGGATGGGGTAATTTAGTTTATAAAGTTAAAAATCATGAATCATGATTCATTAAATTTTTGAAGGGTATGATAATTTTTACATTTGTAGTATATATTAATGAGTCTTATAATGTTTACCATGAGGAGGAAGGATGATTTAGTTAATTTTTGTGTCAACTTTTTTAATCCATTTCTTTCTAGTAACCAAACGTGACCTTAGAGTGTCTTGCTTGATATCTACTCTAAGATCTAGTTTAACTTGCAATAATCTAACACCTAACCCTTACAACCTAGAAGCTTAAACAAATACTATAATAACAAAGAATTAAACCCCCACAAATAATTACTATGGTATAACAATATAAAACTAATTTTCTCAAATTTATTTAAAGGACACCCTTGTTAGAAAAAAGTTCCACTAAATTTCATAGGAATACCATGATTATAAAAAGTTTTACTTAAAAAAACATATGTTTGAAAACTAACTTTGGTAAAAAGATTAAGGGTTCAAGCACAAATCTATTCCTAAAGTTTTTTCAGAGGAGCAATAGGCATCTTAAAGTATTTAAAGCCACAATTTTACCCTAACATTTTTCAAAACGTTACATGTAACATCTTAATTTTTTAATCTTTTAATTAGTTACTAATCAGGTGTGAATTAGTATTAGTGGATGATTAGAGATTTAGATAATTGCTTGATAATTTGACTCATTGAGATGTTTAATGAACAGATATGGGTAGAATGATCGTGTCTTAGAACAAAGCATGTGCATTATGTAAGGATTTTTCTTGTTGTGCCAAGCGCGGCACATGGACCAAAAACTTGGCTAATAAGTTTGTATCACACTCATTGAAAATAGAAGAAAGAAGCAAATAAATGAGAGAGAGAGAGAGAGTGTGTGTGTGGAGAAGAAAGGAGTGGCTGTTAGGGCAAGAATACTTGAGAGCTTGGAAGGAATTTCCAATCGGTGGCTTATCGAGTAAGCTTTGTATAGTCCTTGTCTTTAATTCTACTCTAATTTCTCTTAGTATGAGTTATAAAAAAATTGAATTGAAAAAATTTAAGGGTTAGTTTCTTACCTTATAGTAATAAAAATATTCTCGAGAGTTAAATTAAAGCTTTATGACTAGTTTGGAGTTGAATAATAGAGCTTTGAAGTTGTAAGCTTAAACTTGGCTCTAAATCAAAGAAAAATAGGGTGGAAATGGAGTAAGAGTAAAATGGGATCATTAAAGATGATAGAAAGTGGTGATCGAGGAGTAATGAATCTAGATTGGTGAGGAGTAATGAATCTAGATTGGTTAAGTGAAAAGGAATGGATGGCTTAATATAACCTTATTTGATAATTAAGTATTTTTGATTAATTGGATTAATAGACTAATATTGCTAATTGTGTGTTGATTGACATGTTCTGTATGTAATGTGAGAAAAGAAGCTTGTAGAGACGTGCTAGCGATTGTGATAGTCCATGGGTAATCTTTCTTTTGATAGAAGAGTTGAGGTAACCAAAAAAATTTCTCTATTTGGTTATCTATTGTAACTATTTGAAAGTATGAGTATTATTACATGAAAATGTTTCAGAATGAGCATGTTTGCTAAGAGAATGTTTAATG